GGTGCCCTGTGCCCTCTGGAGGGTGGTGAGAGCTGCTGGTGGCTGGGGAGCAGGGTGCAGGGTGAGCAGGGCAGTCCTGGCACATGGCCTGTTCCCAAGGGTGGTACTGGGGAAGGGCCCCAGGTCAGGACGGCGGCCTTGCTGGAGCAGGCGTTAACTAGGTCACCTCCACATGGTGACATTAGGCCAGGTTGTGCTGTGGTTGTGGAGATCAGGTGCCCCCTCCTCATGGGGCATGCTGCCTCAGGTGAAGCCACAGGACACGAGTGGGAAGGAAGCGCCAGGCTGAGGGAGCAGGCAGTGGCGGGGACAGGTTCTGTTCTGTCTGTAAGCACTGGGGTACGTTCCTTGTCTTCCAGTTTGGGGAGCAGGGTCCCTTGGTCTCAGTCGGCCTCAAAGGGTGGAGGCTGACAGCACCCGCCTCCTGGACACTGTTGGGCGATGACTTAGCTGCCTGTGACCTTCAGCAGGCCTGGCTCACCCTAGGAACCTCCCCCAGCCTGGGTAAGCGTCACTTCTAATTAAAGCCCGCTTTGTTCAAGGACACAACAGGTTCGATCCTGTTTGAAGGGAAAAACTTGCATAGCCACCGTGACTCTTCTTAAAATGATCATGGACTCAGACCTGTTCTTCCTGTGCACCAGCCTGGGCAGGACGGACCGCCGGCTGGTCTTCTGTGACCACAAACCAGTGTTACTGTGATTTGCTCCATGTAGACAAGGCAGAAGAGGGTGGGGCCTGGGGGTAGCTGGGCAACCTGCCTGCTTCCAGGTCCCAGAGAGTGAACCCCAGCCTCCGAGGGTAGCTGGCCTGGGGTTAGGCCTAGTGTAAGACTTCTTGGCAAGGAGGAGGGGGCAGTGCTGCTCCCCCCGGCTTTCCCTTTGCAGGACCTCAGCCTTTTGCACCCTTGTATGGCCTCAGTCTGCATGGTCTTCCCTGAGCAGGTGCCCCGTTTAGCAATAGCTGTTGTCAGTTGTGCCCTTTCCCACGGGTCCTGGAAGAAGCCACTTGCTCCTGTCACCTGTGTTACTTGTGCCCAGGGGCTGATGGGATCCCACTTTCAAATCCCTCCTCTCTACTGTTCAGGAAGCCCTCTGCTCTTCTCTGTCCCCTAGTGGCTGCTAAGCGGCTAGCCCTGGTGGCACTGGCTTCCAGAATGTCTTTCAACATAAGAGCGCCAGTAGCACCCAGCTCTCTTGTAGCCTCTGCCACCGCTGTCATGGTGCCCATGTTTTGGGGCTCATGGCTGAGTGGGGGTGACTGCTGACTGGAGGTGCAGTGCTGAGGTGTCCAAGATAGTCAGAGAAACAGCCGGGTGAGCTTGTGTGTGCCAAGAGTAGACACCTCATTCTCACCAGTGTGCGGGTGGGAGCAGCAGGCTGAAGAACTTTCAAATAGTCCCTATGAGTGGGACTGGTGACGCATACCTGTAATCCTCGTAATCCTATACTCAGGAGGTAAAGGCTGGAGGGTTGAGTTCAAGGCCAACCAGAGCAAAGTTATTAAGACCCAGAGCAAAGTTATTAAGACCCTATCTCAGGGCTGGGAATGTGGCTCAGTGGTAGAGTACTTGCCTAGCATGTATGAAGCCCTGGGTCTGATTCCTCAGTACCACATAAACAGAAAAAAACCAAGGTGGTACTGTGGCTCAAGTGGTAGAGTGCTAGCCTTGAGCACAGAGAGGATCTAGGATAGAGCCCAGGCCCTGAGTTCAAGCCCCAGGACCAAAAGACCCTATCTTACCAGCTGGGAGCTGGTGGCTCACACCTATTACCCTAGCTACTCAGGAGTCTGAAGTCTGAGTATTGCGGTTCAAAGCCAGCCCAGGCAGGAAAGTCTGTGAGCACCAAAAGCCAGAAGTGGAGCTATGGCTCAAGTGCTAGAAAGCTAGCTTTGAGCAAAATAGCTCAAGGACAGTGCCCAGGTTGAGTTTAAGCCCTGGCCAAAAAAAAAAAAAGGGTGGGGGGGGGGGGGTTGGGCAGGAAGGTGGCTCAGCAGTAGAGTGCTTGAGGCCCTGGGTTCGATTCCTCAGCACCACATAAGCAGGAAAAAGCCGGAAGTTGCACTGTGGCTCAACTGGTAGGGCACTAGCCTTGAGCTGAAGAACTAAGGGACCAATTTCAGCCCCCATGACCGACACACAAAAAAAAAGACCCGGGGGTGTGCCTCAAGTGGTAGCGAGCTTATCGGCATGGGTGAGAGCTGAGTTTGATTCCTAGTACCAAACCCCAAAAAGCAGACTACATGTATTTGCACCCTGGAAGTCCCCAGTGGAATCTCTGGTAGTCTCTTCTTGCTGTCTTTCAGGAATGTCGGGTCCAGCCTGAGTTCCAGCCTTGTTGAACCAGCCAGCACAAGAGCTTCCGGTCAAGGAAGCCCCTCCTAGGCACTGACCATGTCTATTATGGACCACAGCCCCACCACCGGTGTAGTCACCGTCATTGTCATCCTCATCGCCATCGCAGCCCTTGGAGCCCTGATTCTAGGCTGCTGGTGCTACCTGCGGCTGCAGCGCATCGGCCAGTCAGAGGACGAGGAAAGCATTGTGGGCGATGGTGAGACCAAGGAACCCTTCCTGCTGGTGCAGTACTCTGCCAAGGGCCCCTGTGTGGAGAGAAAGGCCAAGCTGATGACTGCCAACGGCCCAGAAGTGCATGGCTGATATGAGCTGCAAGGCCCTGGTCCGGTCTGCAGCCAGCCTCAAGACGCTGAGAGAGAACCACGGGCATGCTGCTGAGCAGAAGGGCTGACACTGCTGGCATGGCCTCAGTGGGCTCCATCATCGCATGCACTGACTCTGGGTCCCGGCCGCCCTCGGCTTCCCCTCAGCCTCCTGGTGGGGGCTGCCCATTGCTGGCAGTGGGCAGGCCTGGCCTTGCTGGAGCTCATGGCCCCTTTACGCTTTTGTTACTTGAATGTTTAGCTGAGCCTGTTTTTGATGGAGCTACTACTGTAACGCGTGAACTAACCAACCTGTGAACTGTAAATAGGCCCCGGAAGCACGTGCTTAAGCCTCTCTGCTGATTTTTACTACGATGTAGAGCCCATGGAACGGGTTCTGGTCCTCATGAGGGGCCCAGGCAAAACACCCTGGGGGAACCTTGGTCTCCTCAAGTCCAGGCTGTACCTGGCAGGATTGCCAGTGTCTGTCTGTCTGTCTGTGTGGACAGGAAGTGGGAGGTCAGTTTTGTGTCTGTGGCTGGCCAGCGGGGGCGCTCCGGTGATTTCTGCTTGGTTAGTGATGGGTAGAAGGAGGACCAAGCCTCTCCCTGGCCCCAGACACACTGGTCAACAGTAGAGCTGGTGATGGCAGAATGACTGCAAGGACGCTACCACATGTGCCTGGGAGCTGGTGAAGGACAGTGAGGCAGGAGTCCTGAGGCTGCCGGGCGTGGTGGTAGCAGAGCAGTTTCTTGCCCTTTTGGTCTCAAGCATGCTGAGCACACCTGTAGTGCAGGCTTTGCTGAATTGCTATCCTTATGAAACTCCAGATGGCTACTTTTAGTTTGAAACCTGATTGGCCCAGGAGAGAGGCGTCATCTTGTTTCTGTATTTAATATTTTCTGCACTGGAGGGGCGGAGTCTGGTCCCCCCTCTTCCTTTCTCTCCGTAGCTTCCTCTTTTGATGACCACCCACCTGCTGGGTAGTGGAGCTCACTTTTCTCCATCCTGGCTCTCCGCAGGCTGAGTCCTGGGATCTGGCTGTCGGGCATCAGGTGCCCGTGGGAGGTTGCCACTGTGTGTATTCACACGGGAGCCGCAGGTGCTCCCTGCCAGTCTGGGCATGGTGCAGGAGTAGGAGTGGGTAGGAGGGGGTAGCTCCCTGCGGAACCAGCCATGAAGCATCCCCGTGGGCAGTCAGCGAGCTTGCTTAGGTTTTTAATCCCCCACTGTAAGCACATTGTAAACGGTCATGACTAAAACATGACCTAGGTCGGGATCCTGGGTAAAGAGCCCGCCTGAGGCCAGCCCTGCTTTTCCATGGCTGAGCACTGGCTCTTCCTGTTGGAGCTGCCTGCCGGCGCATGGCATGTGCAAGCTGGGGGCCCCTTTTCTGAAAAGCATGCTCAACAATGCACTTCCTGGAGCCCCAGGGGAGCTGAAGAGCACTGTGGCACCACACACCTGAACTGGGGGAGTCGGGCATTAAGTAGCAGGTGGGGTGAGGAGGGGGAGCTAATGAAGATGGGGCATGAAGCACCCCAAGGAACTGCCCTGGTCCCTGGCAGCATGGGCTGGGAGTGGCAACTGGCCTGGGAGCAAGTGAAAGGCCTGAAGGTTGGGGAAGGTTTGCTCTGCCCCCAAAGAGGCTGAGGTACGTGGTCAGTCCCCATCCCACAGTAGACCCGCCAGGCTTTCTACCTCTACTCTGGAAGCTAGCCACAGAACACAGGCTGTTTGTCCTTCTGCTTCCAGCTTCACCATCCGGGAGCAGTGGGAGTCTGACCCTGGGAGTCCGTGGTTCGGCCTGTGCCAGTGAAGTTTCCTTTTGGATTGCCCACGCTTCCCTTCCCATCAGTTAAGCTTTTGGAGCTTTCTCTCCTCCCCAGAGGCCAGGACCATGTTAGGAGCCCAGGGCCGGCCCATTGGTGTGGGTGGCGCGTTGAGGCACTAGGGGTGACAGTGTCTCTGGATTGGCCTACCGCCACCACACAATAGCGCCCCTGTTCTTACTCACCAATGGCTATGTTTCTAGCAGACATCAGAGCCACACACTTCAGTGGCTTAGAGTTATGACCTCTCTTGGAGTCCGTTCTCAATAGTCCAACTGTTGCATTCAAGTTTCCCAACTCATCAAGAAATTGACCTTTCATCCTACATGTCGTATCACACGAGAGCAACGGGAAGGGGTGGGGAGGGACCCGACACTGAGCCGCTATGACATGGACTGACTTCTCACACTTCTTCCGGTGGACTGTGCTACTGTTTTTGTCTCAAGCTACCAAGTTTGTGCAATAAGTGAAAGGGAGGCTTCCCTGTTCAATAAAAGTTCAATGGCATTCAAGTCCATTTTCTAGACGACTGAGAAAATCTTTATTTACAATAAATTTCAATAAAATTTGCATAAATACATTCCCAATGTACATTTCACCTCTGATTCCTTCATGTCAATGTTAGTCTGTCCTATTCTCATTCTTCCTCTCAGGTGCCAGTGTGGCGCTGGTGCTGGAAGACGGAGAGGAGCCGCCAGGTAAGTGGGGGGCACCTGGAGGCTTGGGGGGGTCAGGGTGTGCCTCTTTGGGGGGAGCGGGGTTCTCAGCGTGATCTTGACCTTCCAGGTGCCTCTCCATAGTGGCCATGAGGACCTTGAGCCATGTGTTGTTCTCGGAGAGTATCTCAGAGTGGGCGGCCAGGTCTTGGAGCTCTCGGGCCTTCTGTGCGTACAGGGCCTGCAGCTGCTGGCCGTGCCGCCGGAGCAGGCTGTGCTGCCGCTCCAGGTTCTGCTGTTGCCGCAGCAGGCGGCGCCCGTCCCTGCGTGCCCGTGACAGCCGGCCCTCCACCTGCACCTGTGCCCGGTGCAGGCTGCCCCTCTCTGCTCGCAGCCTTTGCATCTCTCTCTCCAAGTGGGCCATGTGGCCCTGCTTTAAGGCCACTTCGCTCTGAAGACATTCTTGAGGGTTGGCCAAGTTCTGGGGGGCAGGGGTGGGGTCTGAGTGATGCAAGATGAACTTCAGCAGATTCGGGAGGGTAACGGGGAGGTCTCCGGGGTACTTCACACTTAGGTCCTTTCTGGAGAGAGAGAAAGAGAGGAATCAGGCCCACAGGCACAGTCCCAAACCAGGTGTTCTGTTTCCAGTCAGGTGGGCTATGTAGAGAACGGAAGGAAGGAGATGCTGGAGCTGCCCAGCAGCTCCCGGCAGAGCCGCAGTGCTCTCTGGTACCGTGTGCTGAGATTAATGTGGCTTATTTGAACTGTTCATTCCCTAGGACAGAGCACTGTTTCTGTGCCCAACTTTCCAGAAAGACAAGAGGCCCAAGCCTAAAGTCGGTGACATGGCATTCTCTAAATTAGGTGTGGCCCACTGGTGGGGCCAGGTGGGATTCCTGAGCAGGACTGTCACCAACCATGTCACTGGCACTAGCAGTGCTTGGTGACACTGGGAAGGGTAAAACACTTGGCAGTTTTGTCAACAAGCATTTGTCTACAGCAGGGGTTCTCAACTGGGGGTGTCTGTACCTGGCCCAGCGGACACTGAACTATATATAACTGCTGGCCCCTAGGAGTAGAGAAGGAGGGTGGCAGAGGAAGGGGCTCCCACAGCATACAAGCGGGCCGCAGTAATCCGTTAGGAACCAGCTCCCTTAGAGGTCCAGTGACTGTGGTCAGAGTAGGAACTCAGAGGCCAGCTGGCCAACATGGCCCTGTCACTGCCAGTGTGCTCGGAGACAAGTGATGGCTCTGTCAGGTGGGGTGATGACCATCTCAGGAGACCGTTGTAAGGACTGAGTTCAGTGAGTGCTCAATGTCAGCTTTCAACATGAGCTCCTGCACTGTTAGCCAGGCGTGTGGTGTGTGCCTGTAATCTCAGCACTCCAGAGGGGAAGGCACACGGCTTTTCCGTGTCTCCAGGGCAGGGTGCAGGTGAGCCACGGGGAGGGGCTGCAACACTTATAGCACTGCAAGGACCCTTATAGGTCTTTAGGCAATGCCATGACTGTCTCTAATGGCCGCGTACATTTATTAGTTTTTGGTGTTTTGAGACAAGGTCTCAATATGTGGCCAAGGCTTATCTTGAACTTACCATCCTCCTCTTGTCTCAGCCTCCTGAGTGCTGGGATTAAAGGCATGCCCTACTATACCCAGCTACTTTCATGTTTTCTTTTTTTTTCATTTTGCCAGTCCTGGGCCTTGAACTCTGGGCCTGGTGCTGTCTCTGAGCTTCTTTTAATCAAGGCAAGTGTGCTCAACCGCTTGAGCCACAGCACCACTTCCAGTTTTTTTGAGTGGTTTGGAGATAAGAGTATCATGGGGACTTTTCTGCCCCAGCTGGCTCCAATCCATGATCCTCAGATCTCAGCTCCTGAGAAGTTAGGGTTACAGGCATGGGCCACTGGTGTCTGGCTCACACATTATTTTTCTTGGTGGTACTGGAATTTGAACTTAAGGATTTGTGTTTGCTAGGCCACTTGAGCTACACTCCCAGTCCAAAAGTAAACCTTTAGAGATCATGGTGGTAACATGTTTAATCTGCCTCTCTCATCCTGAGGGAAGAACTGGGTTCTTCATGGGGCCACACTACGGTCTCTTTGTAGCGCTTATGTGGCTTCCCCTCCTCCAGCCCTGATCCAGGAGCACGCCAGAGCATCTGCATTTTGAAGTGTCACTCAAAAGTTCCATGCAGGCCATTGGCTAGGAGTATTCAGAGATGTCCTATGCAAGACAGAGATTGTCCCTCCCGACAGGATCCTACCCTTTCTCCAGCCTGGGGCAAGGGGAGGTAGGCCCAGGACAAGGCCACAGCTGGGCAGGCTGCACACTGGGCTGAGGACAGGGTTCTTTGTGATTTTTATAAACTGGGACATGTTCCCTGTCATCAATGTGCAGCAGTGATGAAGTCCCACAAGCAGCATCCTCAGAGCACATGGATTCCTCTCCCCTCCGAGCAATTGCTGTCAACACCAGCACAATCTCCATGCACACACTCAGGGCACATATAAGTCTTCATTTCCCTAGTACTCATACGAGACTGATCACTTTGCATTCAACAGTGGTATGCCGGTGAATTGTGGAAATAAGTCTCACTGCATGATTCCGACTTTTTCATTTTCTCTCTTGGGCTGGCCCAACCCTCTTTGGACCAGCTGATGATGAAGTTTCCTTCACTCATGCCTATCAACATTTTTTTGTTGTTGTTGTTGCTGTTTTTTTTTTGGCCAGTCCTGGGGCTTGAACTCAGGGTTTAGGCACTGTCCTTGAGCTTCTTTTGCTCAAGGCTAGCACTCTACCATTTGAGCCACAGTACCACTTCCAGCCTTTTCTGTTTATGTAGTACTGAGGAATCGAACCCAGGGCTTCATGCATGCTAGGCAAGCACTCTATCACAAAGCCATATTCCCAGCCTGCCTATCAACAGTTTTAAAGAAATGAGAAAAATTCCATTCCAAAGCAGTAAGGCTTTGACTTACTAATCTCTCTCCACTTAATTGAACCCATCTTCCTGTCCAGCACCCCTGGCCTCCTGACCCAGGGTTTGGAGTGGGGGCTCACTGTTGTGCTCCCAAGCAAGCCTCTAAACAAGCCCTCCACCATGTGTGTGCACTCTCCCTCCACACACACTCACGTGGTGAGAACTTCATGCAAACGCATGTGTTAGGTGCTGACAGTCAATGCTTTTTCAAAGTAAGTTTGGAATTTAAAAAACTAGATGTCATAAACTACCTGCCCAACTTGTCCCCCACAGATGAAATTGCTAGTGTTATAGTCTATATTAATCCAGTGGCAATTTAAATACTTCTTAGAAAGGAAAAGGATTATCTGATGCAGGCGGCAGCAGCAGTGAGTCACACTGTATGTAGTGCATGCCTTGACAAGACACTACCACTATACCATATTCCACTGAGATTAGCACAAAGATTATTCCATTCGGAAGCAGAAAGGCAATGATTCACCAGCTGCAAAGGAAAACCCATGCTGGAGAAGCAGATCATAAAAGGAAGCAGGAAATGAAAACCACAAGCTGCACAGAGTCAGGGCCCTGCCTAAACGATCCTGAAAGCAAATTTCCCATAGAGGACAGAAGTAGGTCCCCAAGGACCCATCCTCAAACCAGAAGAAATCAATGCCAATAGGGAGCCAGCTGCTGGCTTCCTTGGCTTTAAAGGGCTGAGAGAGGTCATTCCTTTTCTGTTGAAACATTTAAGCCCACTGCCAAACCTGCCTATTTTACTAAGGCCTTGTTCCTACTTGCTGGGGATCTCAGCACAGCTGTTGGAGCAATCAGCCTTGGAACAGCCTATGGGCAAAGGACAAAAGGTCAAAGTGATAGTCCCAAGAAGACATTCACAGTCTGCACACAAAGAAAACTCTTTCATGAGCTGCTTGAACCTGAGGAAGGAAGGTAGCTTTAATGGCAGTTTTGTGGGTTTTCTTTTAGCTCAGTCACAATGAATGACAACATCCTAAGAAACCTACTTGTCTTGAGACCTCAACCAGATAATTCTATCTGCCAAAGAACTCAGTCTTACCTGTTGCAGGGAAAAAACAAAATGGTAGGGAGACGGTCAACCATAAATTCCCAAGGAAGATCATTCTGAGACACATCAATCCTGGCAGAAAGCAAAAAGCGAGAGGAGGTAAGGAAGAGCATGTAGGGCATACCCACCAGAAACCACCTTTGTCGATCACCCTGGCTGGCCCACGCTCTCACAAAGTGCACAAGTGGGTGAGTGAGGCACTCACAACTTCTGGAAACACAACTGTATTCTCCAGGGAAACAACCCACCAAGAAGGAAGAAGGGCCTCAATCATAAATGAACACCTCAACTGCATTTTATCCCCCAAATTAGTCCTGGAAAAATAAAGGAAATCACCAAATACACAAGCCTCTTTGAACATGAAAGATGATACTCTTTTCTAAGCTGTAAATCTGGATGGAGGCCCAACAGTGCATTTTCTAAGCAGAGTTCTGAATACACAAGATGACACCCATCCTTCACTTAATGCCTGCAATGGACTGCAGCTGCATTGGGCAGACAGCCCTCCAACAGCAGGCACTGAGCAGGCATAGGGTGTCATCTGCATCCTTCAGGGAAGGGCTGGGTGGGCAATATTCACAAGTATGTGAAGAGAGGGGAAAGGTTTCACACTTGGAGTTGGGGGTACAAGTCAGTGCCAAGCATTTATCCAAATAAAAACAAGTTCCCTGCTTCATTAACAACCAGCATGCCTGCCTGGCTCCAGGAGCTTGCCTATAAAAAACCCAAGTTCCACTTTTCAAGCACATGCTGGGTACTATATTCTATGTCCTCCTGACGTTTGCTTCAGTGCAAGAACAAACTGCATTCATAGTACTCCACTAGGCTACTTGGGGCTTCTTTCTGAACTCTCCACTAGGCTAGACTGTTAGCTTACAGAGTTATAAGAAAGGTTTATTAATAGTCTGAAAAGTGCTGCTCTCAGGAATGGATACAAATGCCATTGCAAGCCAACAGGACCACTCCTCTTCACTGGCATAGGTAATGCTGAAGCCTGAACAAGAGGACCACTCCTCTTCACTGACATAGGTAATGCTGAAACCTGAACAAGATAAGCCAAGCTCCAAAAACCAGTCACTGCATGTTTTCACTCATTTGCAGAATCTAAACTTCAAAGATACGTAGTTTGTCAGGAAAGAGTTGGTTTCAATGAGGCTTTGCTTATGGCAAATAAATAAATACATAAAGCTGAAGAGACTAGTCATGAGTCTCAGGAATTTCTAGTCCCCAATTCTCCACACTGAAATTAACTGGATCAAAAATGAAATTAACTGGAGATTTGTTGCAAATGTTGCCAAAACACTTTCCAAAAGGGTTATGCCAGCCTACTCATTCCATTAGTTACAACCAACTGTGCCAATTTCACTTTATTTTATCAACATAAATTCTGTCACATGTATTTGTTAATTTTGCCAAGTATAAAGGACACTTTGCATTTGTTTTCATTTACACTGCTTAGGTTCCAACTTCCCAGCCGTCCCCTTACATGAAGACCTACCTATGTCCTTCACTGGCACCAGAGTTCCCCTCCACCACCCCATATGTGCGTGGTCTGCAGTAAGGTTGCCTGCTTTTGAATCCCAGTCTGTACTTACAGATGGTGTTACTCCCAGCAAGTTATCTAATCTTTCTGTGCAGTCAGTGTCCTCCCAGCTAAAGAGAGCGATGCCCACCCTGGCTTCACTGGGTCTTCTGAGGATTAAGTCATGGGTACATACAAAATCCCTGGCTCTATTCCAGACGCGCACTGCATATAAAGCTCAACTGGGGACGTTGGAACAGTACTTCCGGCTCCTTTTCTAGATCTGTGTTCCTCTTTTGTTTGTAACACAAACAAAACAGACATACTTCTCAAGGAATGGGTTCGTATTTTTGTGCTGGGCTTGAATACAGGGTCTGGGTGCTGTGCCTGAGCTTCTTTTGTTCCAGGTTAGTGCTCTAACATTTGAGCCATAGCTCCCCTTTTGGACTTTTGCTAATTTACTGGAGGTAAGACCCTTACAGACTTTCCTGCCTGGGATGGTAACTGATCCTCAGATCTCAATCTCCTGAGTAGTTAGGATTACAGGCATGAGCCACAGGCACCTTGCCTTGTGGCTACTTCAGAAAATCTCTCTCTCTCATAAAGATACCAAACTCAATCTGCTACCTTCTGTTATTTGATCTTTTATATTTAATGTATATGGAGGATTTCTTGTGGGGAAAGGGAGAGAAGACATAATTTAAATCTAAAGAACCTGGTACCAAAATTGCTTACTTCCTCCTAACAATTTTAAATGTATGCAAGAGCTCTCACAGCGTACCCAGGGAATTCTAAAACTAGGACCTGTAGCTATCACCCAATCCTTCCTCTTGGTTTCACAAATGAAGAGGAAAACAGGAGCTGGTGCTCTGGGTTCCAGACCAGATGGCAACTGTGGGAACCCCGTGCCAGGAACTCCAAGCAGCCAGAGTTCTGCTTGTGCCTCCATGAATCTCCAGCACTGAACATACTCTGCATTGTGGACATTGAGAATTTGACAGGAAAAAGTTGGCTTCAATGAGGCTTTGCTTGTGGCTTTAGCCTCATCATTGAATCCAAGCCTTACTCTCCACTAATGGGCAATCCTGGCATCAAGGGAAAGTGAGGCATCAAGGGAAAGTGAGGACAAAGGAAAGTTCTGCAGAACAGAGTCCTTACCTGGCCACAGTGAGTGCGTCCCCTGGCAGGAGCCGAGCAAGCTGGATGAAGACGTGATTGAGGGATGGACAGAAGCCACACCACGGGGCGTAGTAAAGCAGCAAAACATCCTGCAGGAAGGGAAGAAACTGTTACTGAACCTAGGACCCACCTGCCTCCCTGATGGGTGCACAGTCTGACAGCATCAGTCCATGCCACAAACCATGCAGAAATTGCAATGAAGTTTGCATCTCTAGATCCTCCCAACTTTGTGCTTCATGAAGAATATTCTACAGTTAGAAAACCATGTCATTCACTCATGTGCCATCTTCAGACCAATCTTGTTTTTCTATGTGTGTGATATGTATGTGTGTAGTTGTGTGTGTGCATGTGTGTGTATATGCACGCATGCACGTGCATGCATGTATGCATGTGTGCGAGTCCTGGAGCTTGAATTCAAGGCCTAGACATTGTTCCTGACCTTTTTTGTTCAAGGCTGGCACTCTATCACTTGAGCCACAGCTCCACTTCTGGCTTTAATAAACTGGAAATCAGATCTCATGGACTTTCCTGAGTGAACTGGTCCTCAGCTTCCTGAGTAGCTAAGATGACAGGTGTGTGCCACTACCATCCAGCAGTACTGGGCTTCTTAATTTAGGGCTAGAGCTTGCTAAATAGGTGCTCTACCATGTGAGCTATGCACCTCCTTCCTTCCACTAGAGCTTTTACTTTTCCAAAAGGGTCTTGAATTTTTGCCAGGGGCTAGCCTGGACCTGCTTCCCACATAGCTAGGATGACATCTGAACACCACACCTAGCTTATTGGTTGAGATGAGGTCTCCAACCCAGCCTTGAACTTTGATCTTCCTAATCTCTACCTCCTAAGTATGGAGGTAGAGATGGTATGATTCCAATTCCAGATGGCATCTTGAATTACAAGTGTGAGCCACAGTGCTTAGCCAGAAAAATCTCTGTACATCAAAAACCAACATCTAAGACCAGAGGTGTAGTTCAAGTGGGAGTCCCCCAGCTGTGGGCAGAAAAGCTAAGCAAGAGCACAAGGCCCACAGGGCACCGGTGGCTCACACCTTTCATCCTAGCTACTCAGGAGGTGAGATCTGAGGATCGCAGTTCAGAGCCAGCCCAGGCAGGAAAGTCTGTGAGACTCTTATCTCCAATAAACCACCAGAAAACAGGAAGTGGCACTGTGGTTCAAGTGGTAGAGCGCTTGCCTTGAGCTGAAGAGCTCAGGGACAGTGCCCAGGCCCAGAGTTCAAGCCCCACCACCAAACAAAAAAAAAAAAAAAAGAAAGAAAGAAAAAGAACACAGGGCCCTGAATTCAAGCCCCAGTACTAGCACACACACAAAAACAACAAAAAACTCCAACCAGTCACCTTAACAACTACCCTGTGTTTACACCCAGTTCTGGAACAAAAACCAAACGTACCAAAAAAAAAAAAAAAAAAAAAGGAAAAAACAAAAAGCAAACCCAAACCCCACAAAACCTACTCACTCTAATAATCACTGCATGGGTAATTATTGTAGGAGGGATGGATGGCTTGAATTCTGCCTTTTCTCATGAGTCTATACCTGCTTCCGAAGGACCACTTCCCAGAAGGTATCAGTTGTCACTTCAGTGATTAGATGCTGAGAAGGGAACTGGGCGGAGTTGCTTCCAATGAGATGTCTTTTTAAGGGACTGTAGAGAACACTGAAGTTTTGAATAAAAGATTCTAAAAATAAAAGAGAAAATGAGATCGACTCTTCTCCAGGTACAGGCAGAGCAGCTGACCTACTTTAAACTCCACGTTTTAAAAACTGAAATGACTTCACGTGCTTATATTTTTAGTACTGTATTTGTAAGCACAACCTTGCACAAAGCTGCTCTGGAGCAATCGGGCTCAGCTTTGGTAACAGTACCTTGTAGGAACTCCTTTAAGAAACAAACCACTGTAAAGCCTGGGATGTTCTACACTCACACTGTAAGATTCTGTCTTGTTCTTTTTAAGGACTGCCCCACAACTGAGAAAGCATACAGTATCTAATGCCACACCTTTTTTTTTTTTTTTGGTAATACTGAGGTCTGAACTCAGGGCTTTGTGCTTGCTAGGCAGGCACTCTACCACCTGAGCCACACCTCTACCTCTCCCGTGCCAAACTCTTTTCAAGAGATTTCAACCTGTAGTAAATACTAAGGCTGGTGAACACAACCATAAAATGAAAACTGCACAAGCTGCGGCGACACAGTGTATTTAAATTAACCCCTCAGATCGCAGCCCCCTGAGTTGCTTGAATTATAGGTGTGATCCATTAGCACTCTGCACCTTTCTTTTTCAAGAGGTTAACTGAAATAAGTTCAATGATATGTATTGGAAAAATATATAAATAAATAATCCAAAGCCCTAACTTGAACCCCACCACAAAAGCCACCATCTATAGCATCCTTCCATTCCTCCACAGAAGGCTGAGCAGCTCCTAATTCCCTACTGTCAGGGCTCAATGGGCCCGGCCATGGTCTTCAGAGGGGGGAGGTGTAGAATGCCTGTGAATACTTAGACACGTTATTATCACACTATAATTACACTCACTGGACTGTTTGTGGAACATAAAACAATTTTTTCCTAATTTTGAGGGAATCTAAACATTCTGAAGCTACCTAGAGATGGCTGATTTTGCTATTAACAACTATGATGGTACATGGCTTGTTTCAGAAATCCCCTTAAAACCGTCACCAACTGTAGGAAAACTGCAACTGAGCCAGACATTTCCAAATGAGTACAGAGATGGAACAAAACCTGAAGAAGGCCTTTCCTTTCTGTTAAGTGCCTTTGGTCCACATGCTTCCTGAAGGGAACACCACTCTTCTAAAAGTGCTGAGCCAAGAGGCACACATTATGCCACTGGCTGCTGTGGCTCCAAGGCCTGCCACCTTCAGACCTCTACTGTGGCAAGTCTGGCTACCCTGGCAAGTGTAAGAAAACGTGGGAAGTGGAGTGCAAGGCTAAGAGACCAAATCCACAGGGACTATGGAATGCGGCCTGGAAAAGTATCTGGCAGGTTCAGGCGTGGGGTCTGTGAAGGAGCATCTAAGTTCAACAGGGTGGTCACAGCAGTACCAATTATCTGGAGAATTTCAATGATGACTCACAGATACACTTACTACACTTTTAAGACTGAGACTCTTATGTCTAATTTAGCAGCAAAAAATCCAGAAATGGAGCTGTGGCTCAAGTGATATCGCACTACGCTTGAGCACAAAAGCCTAGGAAAAGCACCTAGGCACTGAGTTCAAACCCTAGGTCTTGCTCGTGCACGTACGTACACACACACACACACACACAAAATTTTAATTTTCTTAAAATGAAACAATACACCAATGCTTTCAGAAAACACGAATTGGGAATCATGGGTCATATGAAAAGATCATGTCCTCCACAAAGTGGCTGTTCCCAGGACTTCCCTTGAAACAGCAAGGAGCCATCCTGATTATAATGGAATCTAATTTATCATAGAAATCCTGACATTTACACGAATATTTCACAAAGATGACTAATGGTAGAACATGCTTCACCTAGAAGGAAAGATGGACAAGAGGACAGCCAGAGGACACAGAGTTACTCCTGTTTCCTAGTCTAAATTTGAAGGTCAAATTTCCTCCCTCCATTTGTTGAACACTGATTCTCTCTGCATTTCCACTGAGGCTGAACTAAGGAGGCTTTTGAATTCTCATTTCCTGGCATATGGCAGGACTTCAGCAAAGTCCTGGGAACAGGGCTGTGTGGCTAGTCTGCTGCTGCCAAGCCCTAGGGGCAAGCTCTGGGTACTTTCCCACAGTGGGGCCCAGCTCTGGAATTTATTCACGGCACGTGGCACTGGCATGGTACATTTTAGGTACCCCTTCCAGTGCCGGTGGCCTTGACACTCAAACATTCAAACCATAGGACTTTCATACTTGACGATGCTGCTGTAGATGACTGCATTCATCAGTCCCAGAGACCCCTCAAGAATCCTCTCACCTCCTTGCCACTACAGTAGCCCGTCCACACCAAGGACAGCTACCTCATGTGACCAGTGATGGACCCCTATCCTTCCAGGCTAACTGCTTAACTCGGGAGTCCTATTTTATAGACAAATATAGCTTCTTGTAAAACTACAACCAATGGACAAGACAATTTATGATCAAATGTCTCAGAGTTTAGGTCAACCCTTTGAGCACCCTATGACTGGTCTTAGGTTAATGAAAACGCATTTGCCCGGGGAAGGAAATCGCCTACAGTACCTAGGGTGAACTTCATGAGGGCTTGTTTTGGATCCAAGATATAGTGAGACTCTTCTTTCACATCCACAATTGTGGCAAATTCTTTCACGTGAGTGGAGCTTGGAGCACCCAGTCTCTCTGCATATAACCAAAATAAATTGGAATCCAAAAGGTAGATGTTGAGGGTCTTGTTGGTTCTGCAGCTCAGGCCCGTGAAGGCTGTGCTAGTGAGGCCCACTTCTGGAAAGAGATACCTGTTCTCCTCAATGTGAGGAACGGGGCTGGGGGTGGTGGCCTCACACTTCTCCAGGGGAGATAATGCCACAGCAGGGGTTTCGAAGGCTTCTTGCTCAGAATCAATGAAGCCTGCCACACCGCGGTGTATGGTCCTACAGCATGCAGTGCAGTAGCTGAAAGGGCTGTAGGAAGTTAAAAAATTGCTGCACTCCATGCTGCCCGATGCCACATGGTAAAAGGTCTGTTCCTTGAGGTAGAAGGAATCCAGAGCTGCCGCCATCTCAAAGAAGCTGCAGTGTGGCACGCTGACTGAGCTGGGCTTGGTGCCCCCCACCGTCTGGTTGACACACAGCTCGCACACATTGTGGGTCCTGGAGAAGGTGTGCCCCTGGGGCAGCACCACAGTGTTACAGCAGGGGGACGCTGGCCTCAGCGGGGCATCTTGAAGCGGGGCCAGTGGCTCCGGTGCCAGGGACTGGAGGCCAGGCATATCTACCCGCCGCAGGTGCTGAAGAAGCCGTTCCACCACCTGGTCCCTGTGACAGTTGTTGTACTCCAAGGCCACTTGGGTGATCTGAAAGAGAAGGGAGAGGTGGTGAGGGCTTGAGGACTACTGCAGGAGACCGGCAGTCAGTGCCAAGCCTGGAGGCACTCTATGTGCAGTCACTGAGAAAACCATCACAAAACCTGCTGGCATGGAGAACTTTGTCACATTATCAACAAGAAACGAGCCCACTGTTTTGTTTTTTTTTTTTGAGCCCACTGTTTTGAAGTGGAGGCATCTTATAGATATTCACCTATAGCAGGAGAAGGAATCTCAGAGGCATGGCAGCTCAGATGAGGGGCTGGGCCAATGGAACAATGGGAATGGTCTGAGATCTCTCATGAGCATTTCTCCAGAATCTTCCCTCTCCCAACAGTAGCTTTACTCCCACAAAAAGAGCAAGTTATGATCCAAAGGCATTTACTATCTCAAATGAAATAATGTGGTACCTAGAATGAAATCTCACCAGTAAGCTAAACGGCATCCAGTTACTCAAGACAGGGCAAGGTGGCCCCTGGACTCTGAAGGGTGAGACAGGAGCATGGTATGGGTACACACCTATCAAGAATCTATCTCAAAAAAGTTTTTAAGATGTGTTTAAAGAAGTGACATTGTGGGTCAGGAAGTAGAGCTGTGGCGCTCGTCTTGAGCTAAAGAGCTGAGGGACAGCGCCCAGGCCCAGAGGTCAAGCTCCATGACTGACAAAAACAAAACAAAACAAAAAAACTAAGCTATTTGCCAGGTGCCAGTGGCTCACACCTGTAATCCTAGCTACTCAGGAGGCTGAGATCTGAGGATCACGGTTCAAAACTAGCCTGGGCAGGAAAGTCTGTGAAACTCTTATCTCCAATAAACCACCAGAAAACAGGAAGTGGCGCTGTGGCTCTAGCGGTAGAGCACTTGCCTTGAGCTGAAGAGCTCAGGGACGGTGCCCAGGCCCAGAGTTTAAGCCCTTCGACCAACCAAAAAAAATTTTTTTTAATTTTAAAAAAAGAGGGGCTGGGAAGGTGGCTCAGTGGTAGAGCGCTAGCCTTGAGCTGAAGAGCTGAGGGACAGTGCCCAGGCCCAGAGTTCAGGCTTCACGACCAGACCCTCAAAAAAAAAAAAAAAAAAAGAAGTGTTTATATGTACACAGAACCATTCAAAGAGTATATTTTTAATTTAAAAAGAAAAAAAACAAAAACAGGAACAAGCTTTATAACAATCTTTATGGATTGACTCAAAATATATAGATTTTTATGGAAAAAATAAACTGTCCCAACCATTTTTGGTATTAAAAAGTCACTTTAGATGAAAATTGCTATTTAAAATTGCTTGCTTTCCACACAGAAACAAACAGTTCCATCCTTCATGGAAAAGCTGTGAGCTGACGCAAACCTGAGTGTCCCTGCCCTCTGCCCATTCTGGAACTGCCTGTGCTCAACAGGGCAGCAGGGAACTCCCTTAGACACCACTCGGAACTCCAAATCCCTGGTCACCTTTCATAGAAATGAACTACGATTATACTCATCAAAGAAAATGCAACCTGTAGAAAAGTCCTTTCCCCAGGTTTTTCATTCCTGTCTCTTATACAACATGCTCTACACATACACTTGAAATGGTTTCCACACTTAGCACTGTGATGCTAAGGAATTGAACCTAGGGCCCCATGTATGCAAGGCAAGCACTCTACCACTGAACCACCTTCCCAGTCCTACTTTTCACTTTTCGAGAACCTGCTTTCAGGAAAATGTTTCACTATGGTCACAGGATATTGTCAATGATATTTGGAGGACTACAGTTAGTTTATTCTGACTGAGTTCTCAGGCATTCCCCAAAGTTCTCTTGGGGTCCTCCGCTGCCAGCTCTTCCAGTAAGCACAAGCTAGGTCCCAACTCTGCTGTGCCTCTGTCTAGGCTCTTCCTGTCCTTACTCTGCCTCAACCCGTCAAGATCCTGGCTGCCCCTAAAAGTCTGTCTCAAACACTTCCCAAAGCCGCCGCCTCCTCTCTGCTTCCCCCTCCCCCCTCTCCTCCTCCTCCTCTCCTCCTCCTCCTCTCCTCCTCTCCTCCTCCTCCTCTTCTTCTTCCTCTTCTTCTTTCCAGCTCCCAGCTTTCCAGGGCAAGGCCTCACGGTGATGCCCTTGGATCATGGCCTGAGCCTAAGCCTGCACCTGGGCCATTACTTCTCTGTGAGAACTATGAACAGGCTCTTATTTCCATACTGCAATAGCTCAAAGCCCAGAGAGCTGAGACTGCTATGTATCTTCCTTCCCCTGTGCTCCCCACACGGTGCTCATTAAGGTCCGGTCTGATTGGTTTGACTCAGAGGACCATTTGCTGCTTGCTAAGGGACTTCACAACATGGGGAGGGCCGTCTGCTTTCCCGTCATGTGCTCTGTGCACCGAGAGATCCACCTACCTCCCAGGACCCTGGGAACCCAAGGAAGGGGCCACAGATAGAAATGTGACAAAAACAAGGCCTGTTGGCAGGTTCAGGAAATGGGGGGACTCCCTGTCTGGAAGAGCAGACTGGAAAGCCTTTAGGGTCCACTGACAACCTAGTCCAACATAACTATCTGCAGGGAAGATAGCACCTGGGCTCCTGCCCAACATGCCACCCTACCCAGGACCTGGGCACACCCAAACCAGTCAAGAAAACCCTCTGGAAGCCTGTAGTCTACAGCAAAAACCCACAAGCACAGCCAGTGCCTTGGTTGAAACCCTAATTTTCCTGCAAAGTCCACCAGGGTTTCCTGGGCCACAGTAGATGCCCAGCATGGGAAAGAGCTCCTGGGTTCATAAAGTACCCTCAAATGGTAGGTTTTCTGAAGAGACAAAGCTTTATTACTTCCTGTCCTTCTAAGCTGATGGGAAGGAACAAAACTAGTTTCTCTCCTCTCCTCCTGAGTCAGGACGGCAGCAGCCATCCAGAGGTTGCCAGTGGGATAGTTAACTTTTTTGGGGGGCTGGGGGTGGGGCGGTTGTGGGGCTTGAACTCTGAGCCTGGGCACTGTCCCTGAGCCCTTCAGCTCAAGGTGAGTGCTCTACCACTTGAGCCACAGCGCCGCTTCTGGTTTTCTGGTTGTTTATTGGAGATAAGAGTCTCACAGACTTTCCTGCCTGGGCTGGCTTTGAACTGTGATCCTCAGATCTCAGCTTCCTGAGTAGCTAGGATTACAGGTGTGAGCCACCAGTGCCTGGCTGGGATACCAGAGCAGCAGGCACAGTGCATGTTGGCTGGAGGTGTGTCCACCGCTCCAGTGGCACTTTGGGGCTGAGGGAGAGGCACTGCCTGGCCTGTAAAAATTGGTTTGGGCCAATTAAGGAATCCTTGAGGGAAAGAAAAAATAAAACCCTAGTAAATTCAATTTAGCAATCCCATGCGTTCTCTGCTGACTGTGTCTGCTCTAAGTGCCCCCAAGTGATCCATGTATTAAATGAAGTCAAATCAAACACTGAGCGCTCCAGCAAGCAGTACAGGTGCAGGAGAGGGGGCAGACGCCTGGCAGAGGCTTGCCTCTGGAAACCACTAGCTACCAGCATGACAGGACAGGATTAGACAAACATGATATCCCACTGTCACTGACTACAGGGCTGCAAATTCCCAAGGACTGCTGGTCACCCCTTTTTGACCATGGTACCTTTAAGATCATACCAACCTTTGCCTATATTCCTGACACTTCCAAATGAGAAGCTCTGCCTCAGCTGCCTTGAAAGAGGGCTGTGTGGTCTTCCTTTGGGAGGCCTTCTGTCCTAGTCAACCCACACCTAAATAGCTGTCAACAGCCATGGCAAGAGAGGCTGGGGCACCCCTGTCTCAGCTCCAGGGCTTTCCTCTTCCACTCCTGGCAGCTACTCGGTGCTGGAGAAGCACCCTGAACATGGAAGGAGAGCAGACTGTGCTAGTAAGGTTTCCCATTCCTCATGGGGACGGGACAATGGCCTCAGGGACGCTTACCTCATCTAAGAGAGGATGCCTTTCGGCTAAGGGGTCAAAGGGTATGAACAGGAACAGCGCTGGTCCCTTCTTCAGCTCGTTATTCAGCAGCAGACTCTTACCCCCATGGGGCCGCAGCCATCGGAAGAGCAGCTCCTGGTTTTCCGAGGCCCACTTATAGATGTTCTCAGCTGTGAAGTTCATGACCTCCCTGGGGAAGACCTGTGGAGAAGACAAAGGCACCAAGGATAAAGCAAAGCTAAGCAAGGAAGAGCCAGCAAAGCACCAGCACCATCTTGCAGAGGCCCAGTCTACCCACCCTGCACAGGAGGAAATGGAGCCAGAGGCATGGATGCCACTTGTCAGGAAGCCCACACTCAGCCAGCTTCTTCTCATGGCACACCCTCACAGTGGTCAGAATGCAAAGTGGAAGCAGACAGCTGTCACATCACCAGATTTGCCTTTTTCCTCTTAGAGTCACCGATCCAGGTAATGCTCCCGGGGTGCTGATGGCTGTAAGGACCTTACTACTCTGACCAAGGAGAGCTATAGACGGGTCACTGGGTGTTTACAAAAGGACAAAGGCAGAGCCACAGGAAAAGGAACCACGGAGTCAAGGACAGATTTATTTCTACTTTGGCTGTCTACTTTACTCCCTGGAATCCAAGTACCAGGCTGCACACCTGGCACACAGCAGAGATTCAACAGCTCTCCGAATGAGTCAGGGAATGAATGACATAAGTTTGCACATGCCCAGATTACTTTGTGTGTACAGATGAAGGAAGGAGGCACTGCTTATGCTTTGGTTCTCTACAACATTGGAACAAAACCTTAGACTGTTTTCAAAAGCCTAGTGATACAAATCACTGGTTTCAATACAGTTGCTCTGGAGGATTTCACAAAATGAGAAATTTGACTCCCCCTAAAACATGTACATTTAAATGATCTCATAACAAAGATGACCACTGCTATTCCTTTTAAAAATATCTCATTCAATAAGGGGAATCAGTGGGAGTCACACAACTGAAACAGTAACCCCAATTTGTTTCAGTTCCCTCACAGTTCTACAGTTCTACCTTTTTTTTCTCTGTCCATTTCAAACGCCTTCCTCAGTATCTTTTACTGAAATGTAAGTGTAGGCCACAAATAAAGCATGAGGAGATGACAGCTAGGTAAGCACATGAGGTGGAAAGCAGCAGCTGAGATGGGCAGCGGGCAGCTGTCATGGCAATGAGGCAGAGCCAGACAGGTGGAATTTGAAAGCACATCTAACAGCATCACAAACATCACATAAACACGGCATGTGTGGAAAACATAAAATACACTGGGCCTTGGGATACGAATGGTAAGAAGTAAAGCATGTCTATCTGAAGATAGGTAGGAGCTAGGGTGACTGGTTAAGTGGGCCTCACCCCCTCACTCAAGAGTCTGACAGGATCTACACGCTGAGCCAGAGGAACTCAGGTTTATGGAGCTAGTGCACTAGGCAAGGGACCTGTGAGCCAGTGACAATGCCAATGATGTAAGAGACAGAAAACACTTCAGAAAAATAAGCTCTCTGTGACGGGCTGAAGAAGTAGCCATCAATAGAGAAGCATAGGACTGCACAGGACACAGGTGGAAGCTCAGAGCAGCTGAAGGGAACTTGGCTCACCAAAAAGTAAATGAAATTAGGGAACCAAGGAGCCGATGGGGAACCAAGGATCTAGGGAGTGAGATGCTATCAATTGGTTATTGTGACTTGACAAGAACTTCAAAACTCATTACATCAGCTAAGGAGAAAAACATGTCACATTACTACTCTTCAGAAAAGAAACAGATGAACAAACATCACCCAATGGCCACTAAACCTTTGGGAACCAGGCCCAGAGTAATCATTCTCTCTCCAACTGATGAGCAACTCTGCAATCTCTTTCAAGAAGGACAACTACAAGGCTGTACCCAAGCCTAAGAATACAGAGAACTTGCCGATGTTGATTCTTAATAAGAGCATAGGCTCTTGGTGGGCATGTAAGAACTGTCCGTTTGCACACAGAAAAACCATGCTCACTTTCCTAGGGAAAGTGCCCATAGCCTTCATCCAACCTCAAAGGAGTCTGAGACCTACACAAGGTAAAGAACCACTGCACTAATACAAACGTGATTTCAAAATACTTACAAGTGATGTGTTGAAATGTCTATGTAAATACACACTTCCAGAGTGTACTAAGGATACCAGTTTCGCAAGATGTTTATTTGTGATAACCCCAAATCGTACTGTTCCTAGGTAATCTGAAACAGAAAATTTTCCTTTATTAAAGAGAAGGCCTAGGCCTCACAACAACCACAAACCCAATGATCCAGTCCTGCCACACAAATCCCCTAGAGCAGGGCTTTTTGGTAAGCTAGCATAGCCAGGGAACCCTCTCTTCTTGGCCCTTCAAGTGTCCAGTCTACTGCAGAGAGGAATGGGAGGGTAACTGGGAGTCAAGCTCACTCGGGCACAAGTCTGCATATCCACATATGACCATCTGAGCGATCTGCCACCCTATCCTACCCCTTCAACACCAGACCTACCTCAGGGTCAAGGCTCTTGCTTTCTACTTTATGGACATGGCTGGCTCATCTCAACTCCTGCCTTCCCGGCCCACCTACCTAGCAGCAAAGTCCCAGAGGAGGGGGCTACAGAGGAACCTTCCTTACCACTATGTTACTTCTAACTCAGTAAGATATACATAATCTTATTCATTTGCTTAGGTTTTCCTTGGCCTAACTACCTCTTCAGAATGTCAGTCCTATGAATAATTAAAGACCGTGTTTCTTACTGGTACCCTAGCACTTCAAGTAGAGCCTCGGCATACAGCAAAAGACTGAACAAATGCTTGTTAAGTGAATATGAATCTACAATACACAAAGAACTCATACAAATCACTAAGAAAAAGAAAATGGTTAAAATGGGCAAATCACAAAAAAGGAAATGTACACAGATAATAACTACATGGAAAAATTCAACCTCACTCTAAGGAAAGCAAATCAAAACAAAATACCAATTTTGACCTTTATGGTGCCCCAAATCTAGTATTGGTGACCAACCAGCCAACAGGGCAATGACTGCTCTGACACAATTTGGCAGGAAAGGGCCAACGCCCATCTATGCACAAATACTCTGAGATGTTTACAACAACACAGGGCTATCAATATGTCACACACCACTCCAAGAGTAGCTCCAACTACTCCCTGGCTGGGATCTGAAATTCAAAGCCACTTTTTGTGCCTAGATAAACAAATCTGTGAGACTCTTATCTCCAATTAATCAGTAAAAGCCAGAAAGTGGAGATGTGGCTCAAGTGGTAGAGGACCAGCCCAGAGCAAAAAAGCCAAGCAAGAAGGAGAGTTCAAACTCATTCAAACATGCACACGTGAGCACACACACACTCATACCTGTCTCCTAGCTATGTGGACCACTCTGACACATGACCTTAAGGATACTCAGAAGGAGACATGTATCCAATCAAAGCAGCTTTAACCTGGGTGGTCCTACGTTGAGGCGCATGTCCATAGCTGTGCTGTCCAGTTAGCTGGATGCCAAGAGCCACAGGTGGTCATTGTACAATGAAGAATTAAGCCTGCATGCTTTTCACCTAAATTTTAAATTGACACTTATGTATTAGAAAACTTTTAAGTATGTTTGAAATAATGTGATTCTATGAGACTCAATTTTTTCCCCTTCTCTGCGTGGGGTTCCCTGAAACTCACTTTTTTCAATGGTTAAGTTTTGCGCGAGCTAAATACTAAACATCGAGTACTTCCATTGAAAATCTGGTGTATGAATGGAGATGTGCTGTTCAGTGAAAAGTGTCAAAGTATATACTTCTCAAAAGTGGGATTAAAAAAAAAGAATAAAATATTTCAACAATTTTTAAACTGGTTACATGGTAATGTGGTAATAACATAGGTAACACTGGGGTCAGATAAATATGGTATTAGACTAACTTCACTTGCCTTTTTTGCGGGGGGGGGGGGGCGTTGTGGGGCTTGAACTCAGGGCCCGGGCACTGTCCCTGAGCTCTTTTACTCTAAGCTAGCACTCTACCACTTTGAGCTACAGTTCCACTTCCAGTTTTTGAGTGGTTAATTGGAGATAAGAATCTTGCAGGGACTTTTCTGCCTGGGCTGATTTTGAAGCATGATTCTCACATCTCAGCCTGCTGAGCCTTTAGGATTATAGGTATGAACCACCGCTAGCATCTTTTTAATATTTTAATGCCATCACTGGACATTTTTAAGCTGATTATGGTTCATATTCTAGTGAAAAGATAAGATTGGTTTACTCAGTAGGAAAGTTAGGCTGAGAAGCTGTAGCTACAGTGAGGATGTCTTGGGGCAGGACACAGGACGATCCCCCAACCTCTGAGAATGAGTACTACACCACGGATGTGCCCTCTCCTCCTGCTAGCAAGGTGGTGCTCCTCAAATCAAGGTTGGCCAGGGATGTCCAGAGGACTATGGATAAGTACCTTGCTAACTGAATGTGCCCCTGAAGCTCCTCCAGGAGACTTCTGTATGAGCTTATCTCTAGGGATTATGAAACAAAATGAAATGTCAATTCAAGAAAAATATGATGACCACTAAAAAAATAAACCATGGTGAGCTTCAGAACTAAATACCACTACATTAAGTCACAAGGCACTTAATCAGCATGTCTGAGAAGTCACTTACTCCCTGGGGAAATTCCTCCTTGATTTTTAACAGGGAAAGTGACATTTCAACCAGCAAGGCAGTATGACAGTACATAGTACCTTCCATCTGCTTGGAAACAGTTTGCAAGTTACTCTATCATTTTTATTAATTTCTGTTTTCCCACTTTTCTCTAGGAGAAAAATGGGGAGGAGAATAATGGGATTACATAAAAGGGTTCTGATTAAAAAAAAAAAACTGCCTCTCCAGTGTGACTGAGCAGTTCCCAGTCACTCCTTTGAAGTGCTTTACAACCCGGTACCGGATGACTCCACACACTTCCAATGGTAACTATGCCCAGCAAATGAAAACCCTCTAAGATGGTAACAGAATATAGCACTGTGTCCTCACTGAATGAACTCGTGCTAGGATCTACATTTCCCTCTAGAAATGGGGCTTTGAATCTTGTCTGTCTTCAAAATTCTCCAAGTGAAGCACAAAACAATTACCTAGAAAAGAAATCTTGCCTCTGGGCACCACAGCAAATTCTGATATTTGCCAAGATGCTGCTACAACAAACATCAACAGCTTAACTGTGACCTTTTTCTTTCTTATGGGTCTGTATATCCCTTTAGGGAAAATAAACTGAAGCTAAGTATGCACCGTCATATACACTTAACCTGACAGTAAAACACATAACCTGGCACCAACTATTGTCATTTAGTAACAACTGAAGCACAATATCAACTTGACCTCTATTCAAACACTTCCTTTTGTTTCCTTCTCATCCATTTAGAAGGAAGAACTTTCCAGACTAAATTTATTTGCCTAGCAGACCACCTCTATCTCTTTCGGGCTGCTCTAGGATCTCAGTACTTGGTCAGCTGTAGGAGGCCTGACACATTCTTCCTCACCACAAACAATCCTCTAAAAATGGAAAAACCAGCTGGCGTCACGAAGTGGTAGAGTGCTTGCCTAGTAAGTGTAAGGCACTGAGTTCAATACCCCTCCCACTAAAATACCAAAATAAAACCGATTCTTAGCTCCCAGGCCTACAGACTGGCCCTTGGCCAGTGACAAGGTGAAATGTCCCTTTCAAGGCTCCCTTGTTTTTCAGCTGGGAAACCTGAAAATCAGAGTAGGAGTGAGTGGGCTATCATAGCAGAATGTTTGCCACTGAAATGACTTGTCCTCAGGGAACTGGTCCCTGTCTTTGGGAATGTCTTGTCAGGAAGAGATCATTAAAGTCCAAGAGAATATTAGAAACAGGCTAGTCAATGGGAAACATTGCCTATTAATGCAACAGGAGTTCCAAGAAGGGGGCAGAGGTATGGAAACCTATAGTTGATACCTGCGGTATATAAAATGTCACGTTAGCAAGGCAATACTTAATACACAGATTTTTGACTAGGACTTAAAAAATGAGGAGGTCAGGCTGGGAATGTAGCTTAGTAGTAAAGTGCTTGCCTAGCATGCATGAAGGCCTGGGTTTGATTCCTCAGTATCACATAAACAGAAAAAGCCAAAAGTGGTGCTGTGGCTCAAGCGGTAGAGTGCGAGCCTTGAGCAAAAGAAGCTTAGGTACAGCACCCAGGCCCTGAGTTCAAGGCTAGGATTGGAGAAAAACACACACACACACACACACACACACACACACACACGAGGAGGTAACAAAAGACATTCCACTGAAAGTTCTATCACAGGCAAGATTAGGAAGAGATGTACTCACACACACACACACACACACACACACACACACACACACACACACACACGAGGAGGTAACAAAAGACATTCCACTGAAAGTTCTATCACAGGCAAGATTAGGAAGAGATGTACTTTCTACCTTCTGCCTCATCCCAGAGAAGCACAACAGCCAAAGGCAGAACACAAATAGAGTAGGGTGAGAAAGGAGGGAGCCTCTATACGAGGGGTCTGGGTTTGTTGCTGTGGGACTGGATGTTACTATAACAAATAATTGCCAACTTACTGGCTTAAATACAACACAAACTTATCTTAAGAGTTCTGCAGATCAGAAGTGTAAAATTGAGTCTCACTAGGCTAAACTCAACCCTGCCCTATCTGCAGAGTGTGTTCCTTCTAGAAGTTCCAAGGACCCCTGTCTCCTGGCCCTCTCTAGCGCCTTGGCTGCAGCCTCTTCCTCCATCTTCAGAACTATCAATAGCCAGGCAAGTCCTCACTCCACATCACTCTCGTTGCCTGTTCTGCTTCCAATTCTACTTCTAAGAATCCTTCTGTTTACTATGGGTCTGAAACAGATATTGAAACTGCTTTTACTGAACAGCATGGACTCCTTATTTGGGCCCATAGTTAACTAAAATCTGGAGGAACATGTGGCCTACCTCTGTCTTCATTCTGTTTCTGTAGTTTTACTCTCTATAGTTAATACACAGTGATAATGACAAGATTATCCAATACAACAGAGTGGTCCTAGAACCTGTTCTACTCAAAGACCCACACAAACATACTGAGCAGTCTCTGGGTCCTTCTTGGTTAGCAGGCCCTTGTTTTTCCAAAGCCCTAGAAAAAAAATACACATGCAGGGGGAGACATTGCTACCCTCCAGGCTCTGTGAAGCTATTTAAAAAAAAAAATCACAAGCCTGTAATCCTAGCTACTCAGAAGACAGAGATCTGAGGATCACAGTTCAAAGCCAGCTTGGGCAGGAAAGTCCATGAGACGCATATCTCCAATAAACTATTCCAAAAAAGCAAGAGGCGGCACTGAGGCTCAAGTTGCAGAGTGCTAGTCTTGAGCACAGAGGCTCCGGGACAGCACCCAAGTCCTGAATTCAAGTTCCAGAACTAAGAAAAAAAAAGTGCTTAAAATGCTCCAGAAAAGCTTTCTTTATAAGCAACTATATGGAGGACCCTGTGTCCCAACTCAGCTCTACCAGATGCCACCTGGCAGAGCAAAGGGAACATACATGCAATTACAAAGAGCTCATTAGACTAGTGGTCACCCCTCACTATCCAAATGGGGGATTAGGGGCCTGGAGGTTTCAGGACCTCATACCAGCGATACCAAAACCTAGGATGCTCAAGTCTCTTATGCAAAATGGTGCACTAACATTATAAGTAACACACCCAAACCCCTGCACCATTGGAACATAACACACCCACAGCCCTGGTACAATGTCCATCACCCCTATATTTCCTACCATGCCTCATATAATGTGATTCTCACACAAACGGCTGCTGCACTCTATTGTTTGAGGAATGACAAGGAAAAAATCTGTACACGTTCAATACAGAGGCAATACATATTTTTAAAGAGACAAGGTTATACATTATTGTCTACACCAGCCCCAAATTCCTGGGTTCAAATAATCTTTCTGTCTCAGCTCCCTGAGTAGGCAAAGTTTTTTTCAAAATTACTTTAACAAAAGTAATTTATATAATTAATCTGTGGACATAGCCGGCCAACTGTACTTCCCAAATGTGTTCCTAAGAAAATCGTATGCCACAAGGTTCCCTGTTAACTAAGATTATAATTCCCAAAGGGATTATATGGCAGAAAGGAAGGGAAATACTAGCTGTGGGTAACAACTCACTGTATTTTCAAGCCACTTAAAACTATATGACTGTAGTATCAGGGTCCAGGGAGAAGCAGTGGAGGGAAAACAAGCATGGTCTAAGCAGGGCTCCGTGCAGCCCTGCCACAGCCCCGCCACACATCGTGCTCTCACTTTGCGGGCCCAAACTGAGAAGAAATGGTAGGGACCCAAATGACTTGGGTTTTTGAGATAGGGTCCTGATTGTGTAATCCAGGCTTGCCTTAATCTTACAAAATTCTCCTGTCTCCACCTTTTGAGAGTGCTGAGATTACAGGCATGTGCGCCACATCCTGCAATCAAGCGACACAAAATCTTTTTCAAGTCCTATATTAGTCATTCATTCACCTCGAGTCACGTACGGTGCACAAGGACAGGAAAATAACTCACTCAATACACACAATGTCAACAGCTCCTGCTGTGCGGAAGGGGAATCCAGCCAACACTGAGAAACCCATGAGGAGCAGGTGCCAGTCTACTGGAAGGAGAAGAGGAAGATGCACGCATGCAGGCAGTCAAGTAACATAAATTTCATGTGTAGATGCTCCTTCCAAAACAATAATGAAAGCTTGGGATGCTTTCAGCAAGCTTAGTTTCTAAGGTATTGCAGACTTTATTCACAGGTAACATGTAGTTTGGTCTTATAAGCGTTTACTCTCATCTCTACTCTCCTCAAATGTTTAGGTAGATAAACCCAAACAGAAAATTTAACTTTTTTTATTCCAAACTTACAGGCCCAGCTGAGAAAAAGGGTAAGGGCAAACGCTCCAGCTTCTGAGCCCCTGCTCCCCTTCTGTAAATCAGACAGAAAGCAGGATCGAAGTTTTCTGTAAGGACTCGGGATGTAACTTAGTGGGGGAGCACCCACCTAGCATGCACAACGTCTTCTCCAGCACCAGGAAAAATAAAGTTGCAAATTTTCTTTTTTAAAAGTCTCCAAATCGTATTAGAATATAACATTTTACCAGAACACATTTTTATTAAAAACAATGAAATATGCATAAAATTAAAAATAATTTAAATTATAAGCCCTCTACCAAGCTTTCTTGAGGCAGAATAATGCAGGCTGGGTGCCAATATGGAATGGTTCCGAGGGAAGCAGCTGTGTAGACTAAGAAGAGCAGGCAAAGCTTCTGGAACACACAGACTGCCAGCCCTCACTTCATCACTCGGCACTTAGAAACCATTAAACATTAATAAGTCCTGTAAGACTTGCTATGAAAAATTAAAACGAACGTTTAAATAAATGGATGATAATGCTTCAAACCTAAAAGGGGAAGGTAAATGATACCACATCTAGTATCTCCAAGTCAATTAACATGTTAAATTCCAACCAAAACCCAGATGAAGACATGGATGGATAAAGAATATTCTGTAGAACATCTGAAGTAGAGGAAGTGAATGAAGCCTACATTTTTCCAGGAAATCACAACTTATAAAGCAACAAATTCTATATTTACTCCTATGAAAACAGATGCCTAGACCAAGAGAAAACACAGGAAAAGACACAAACATACATGCATATATTTTATAGCTAAGCAAGTACCAGCCAGATAACAGGAAAGAAAACATCATTTTGTAAACAAATAGCACTAACCAATTAATTAATGAGAAGGGGGGGAAAAAACCTGTGTGTTGCTTTGAGTCAACTATAAGCAAGTAGTGTAAAGTTCCAAATAACTTTTAAAAAGAATGTAAGTCATCATATTTACAGAAAAAAGAAGAAAAAGAACCAGAGATTTAAATACATGAAAATATAAATAAAGACTAATGCTAAACTTAGGGAGGCTAGGAGAATAATGGGTAGAAATACAACCCAGAGTCCCACCCCACCACCTAGTAAGTGGCCTCTATCAACTGGTAGATTAGCACCATGGCAGAGATCTACAAGTTGAGGCCAGAGACAGTGGGGAACAAAGGAGAGAGTTAAAACAGAGAGAAAGCAACTGTGGCAGTGCAGAGACAGTATGTGAACGCTCCCTGCTCTTCCTTACCGTCATGTGCAGATCAAACAACAGACAGCCTTGGAGGGGGTGGGTGGCACACAGAGCTCCACTCTCACACCCGAGAGGCAGGACTGAGCTCTCCTCTTGGCATCCCGGCACCAGCACACTTCCAAGTTATTTGCAGACTGATGACCAGGTAGCTTCAAAAAAATGTAGACCTAAGCTAAGTGCTAGTGGCTCATGCTTGAAATCCTAGAGACTCAGGAAGCCGAGATCTAAGGATTGCAGTTCAAAGTCAGACTGGGCAGGAAAGTCCCTGAGACTCTTATCTCCAAATAGCCAACAAAAAGCTGCAAGTGGAGTTGTGGCTCAAGTAACAGTGCTAGCCTTGTGGGGTAGGGGTAGAGGGGGCAGGGGAGCTAGGAAGCAGCATCCAGGCCCTGAGTTCAAGCCTTAGGACTGGTACAAAAAAGATAAGAGAAAAAAGAAAAAAAGACAGAACTCAAGAGTGTCCTGACTTTTTTTTTGGGGGGGGAGGGTCCAATCGTGGGGCCTGAATTCTGGGTCTGGGTGCTGTCCCTCAGCTCTTCAGCTCAAGGCTAGCGCTCTACCACTTGAGCCACAGCGCCACTTCCGGCTTTTTTCTTTTTGCTTATGTGGTGCTGA